TATCACTCCTCCCTTGGAATGACTCCCTTCAGAGTTGTGTACGGTCGAGATCCTCCACGCCTTCTGTCCTATGAGCCGGGCTCAACGCGGCTGGAAGAAGTGGACCGCAGCCTCCAAGCCCGTGATGCCCTCCTGGCTGAAGTCTCCTTGCACCTACAGTAGGCGCAGGCACATATGAAACACGCCTACGATCAGAAGCACCGCGAAATCACCTTCGAATCAGGGCAGTACGTTTGGCTAAAACTCCGACCATACAGGCAGCTGTCCCCCAGGCACCGGGGGCCCCCTAAGTTGGCCCCCAAATTCTATGGGCCCTTCAAGATTCTAAGGAAGATAGGGAAGGTAGCTTATCAACTCGAGCTCCCGGAGCACAACAGGATCCACGACATCTTCCATGTATCCCTCTTAAAGCTTTATGTTGGCACCCCTCCCGACCATGTGCCTCCCCTATCCCCCTTGCAGGAGGGCAGACCTATTCTTCAGCCCTGTGCCCTCATCCGGCCCGCATCCATCAAGGCACCTTCGAGGTTTTAGTCGAATGGGAGGGACTACCCCCAGCAGAGGCGACCTGGATTCCTTGGACCGACCTCCACAACGCTTATCCAGACCTCGAGCTTGAGGACAAGCTCGTAGTCCAAGAGGGGAGTGATGTTATGAGCACCCGCACCACACGGCAGCAGTTGAGGCAGCAGCGCGCACACGACAGGCACCGCACGGCAGCGACACCATGAGTCGCGCGCAGCACCGCGCGGCAGCGGCACCGCACATAGCACCACGTGCACGCACACCAGCAGCAGCAGCAGAGCGGGGCCCACATGACAACTCATAGGGTGGGCCCACCCTTATCCGGACACGACAAGAGAACGCGCCTTATCCCTTATCCCTTATCCCATTCTCCCTTATCTTATCCCCTATTCTTAGAAGGAATTGTAGTACCATTCAGAGTAAGTAGTCTAATTAGAAGTAGGAGTTTGAGTCCGTTTAGGACTAACCTATCCGAATCCAACAAGGAACCCTCCTCTTGTAATCTCCTATTTAAGGAGATGCTATTATTGAATGAGGATATCGAATATTCAGTCAAGAAAGATAGTGAAGGAGAGTTTGGTAATCTCTTGGACAAATCACCCCTAAGATAGTCAAAATAGGGCCTGTACGCAAGGCCAAGGGCAAGGAAAAAACTGAGATTCCTGCGGTGGAGCGACCCGTGACGCGATCCTACGCTCGGGCCCATAACACTCTCTCTCTAATCTCAAGTTCTTTTTTGTAATATTATTATTCTAATTAAATCTTAAATTCAAAATATAGATATTAACTATTGAGGCCACACTTATTTGAAATCCACTACTTATAGTTGCATCACTTGCTAGAGTCATAATCTCAGAGAAAAAGTGGAAAACTTGTTACAGGTAGAGGGATCTCACTAAG